GGAGGTGGTGGTGGTGGTGGTGGTGGTGGTGGTGGTGGTGGTGGTGGTGGTGGTGGTGATGGTGGTGTTGGTGGTGTTACGATGATCGCAGGGCAACTGCCGGAGCTCAGGTCGACACTTCCGTGATGAATGTTCTGTTTGGCGAAGGAATCACTCACTTTAACTAGTGTACAGAGCCCAGCCAGCCGGGCATGAAGTCTGTCAGCAATAGGTCCAAGGTAAATTTACGACTATAAATGCCAGAACAATTACGTTACCAGAGCGTCGCCGACCACACGGGCTAAAATGACTTATTGCCAATAGAAGCGAAGAGACGAGTCCCAGGAAGTAGTCTTTGAGGAAGGAGATACGATCGCCAGGACAAGAGCTTTATTAGCCTGACGTTTGGGATTCCTGCTTGATGATGGATTCGAGCAGGAATCCGAAACGTCAGGCTAATAAAGCTCTTGCCCCAGTGATCGTGTCTCCTTCAAAAAATGACTTATTTTAGCAAAATATCTTAAGGCACCTACAAGACGAAGGTAGACGAAGAAGCAGGAGTATTCTCCGGTCTCGGGAAGGTAGGAGAGGAAAGTCGTCATGCAGACAATCAGAGTCAGGCGGTCGTTGGACATTCGTCGAAAACCCTGGTAGAGAAGGCGAATCAGACATCATCAGTGCGTCGAAGTAAATCAAGGAAAGCAGAGATGCAAAAAAACACGAGTTTGAGGGCAGACGGTATGCAAAACAGACAGGTGAGGAAGGACCGGACAAGAGAGGACAATAGTTCTATCTACAATGAATCACAATAATTCCGTTCATTAGCAGCTCCTTCCAGGCACACTGAATCAACGAAAAACAGACTCCAATGAGAGCACAGAGGACCCTTTTGACGCTTACGAAACCCCATGAATACCTGTCAGCGCTGCCTTCGTTTGACGTGTACTTGATCCAATTAGTTGCGCAACACGAGGTGGCGTGTCGCTCAAGTGATTGTAAGGTGACTAGATGCGGATTCAGACACTCGCACTCCCGATCACAGTCGAGAAAACGGCAAAAGCATTCAGAAAAAGAAACATGGGAAAGATGCGGCCGAAAGGAAAGGAAGCGGTCCAGGCAAACGATGAGAGAGCAAAACTGAGCGCAAGATGAGAAATCGAAACGGGTTTGAGAAGTGGTCACGCGAGTGGCTGACAAAGAGTCCCTTTAAATTCACCGTCACAAGCGACCAGGGCTATTAATGTCCCCGAAAGCACCCGGCTACGGCTTTCATTGCGCCTACTTCACTCGCTCTACCTTAGCCCACCACCATCTGGTGGCAGGATGGAGACAAGACGATCAAAGGTTGGCGTGCGTGTAGTGACTGACAAAGTTAGGGGGCCCGTCTATGGCGTGCCATCCACGACCTGATCCCTAACTCCACATGTGCCAGGCCTGATTGAAGGGGAGGAGTCTCGGATGCTCCATTGGTCAGGATTCTATAGAGAGGACTCGGCGAAAGAGTAATTGGAGCCTGATCCTCAGCCCTGAACGGGACCGACTTGCCCCATTAGATGGCAACCTTCCAATCCCCGACTGATAGCACGTAGTAATAGATTTAAGAGCGTCAGATCTATTATAGAGAGGAGTACGACAAAGTACTATGAGGATGACTTGGTGGTACAGACTTTATTCGTTTAATTTTCATCTACAATACACCGATAATCTGTCTAGATCAAGCCGACCGACAATGAGATTGGGCGCTGCGGCTGACATGGATAAATCACATGTCTACGCGTGCCACGCACGGCACGCTCTACGTGACGCTCTGATAGTTAAGGGTTTAACTATCGACGCGTGAATTCACATCGGCAAAACGCGAGCTTACAACTGTGTCACTGGTAGGTCGGGTCGAACAGATTTCAGAGTATGACGGGCCTCTCTTCCGATGAGCCTCTTTTCTTCATTATATCCACTGAAGACGCATGCTATGCCCGCCCGACAGACGCAACCGTACCTACCGCGCCACAGTTCTCTTAATGCGTGAGAAAAAAAGAACCGGTCAGTTTGTTTTTGAGAGATAAAATTTCAGAGAGAAAGCTTGGGAGAAGAGAGCTTGCGCGTCGCAAACACGTTATGAGACCTCAGCGTCGTTTTTCACTGAAATTTAAAAAATTGCCTAATCTCAGCAGGATGGGAGGGAGGAGACAGGCTTGCTCTGCGCGTACTGGTGAGTCAGTAATCAGGGTAATCAAACGGAGCCTGTTTTTCTTCACTTGCGATGGCATTCAATATGACGCTCGGATCCAGGTCACTTGGTTACTACATCATGAGTCATCGACTTCCATGGCCTCGATCGGCAGCGAACCACCGAAGGAAGTTTCGCAGGTAGGCACGCGGCCAGAGATATCAGTCCCCCGACGCCGGCTAGCCAGCCGTGAATTGGGTTCAAGGTGATAGTCCTGACGGCGTTTTCGAGTAAAAAAAGTAACTTGGTGGACGATGGGGTGCAGTTTGCGGGCTTCGCTCTCGAGTAGGGAGACAGAGTCAAAGGATGGGGGGAGGGGTAGGCACAATCGATTAAACACGTCAGGGAATGGATAAATACTGGGCGCATAGGCCGTGTGTCACATTCGGTTGGGAGTCTCGTAGGCTCTCAACGATCGTCAAGGCCATGACGGGGTCAAACAAGGGGTCTCCCCTGCGTCTGAGAGAACCGATGCTCAAGTGAGTCCTTAAGCCGCTCCTTCCGGCAGAATGCTCGGCCTAGGGCTACATAACCCGTCCACTAGCTAAAACGTTCGAAAAGACAAGCCGTTTTGTCCAAAATATACTGGATGATGAGCGCAGTTTACGCACCCCAAAGGGATCCACTTTGTCCCAGGTTATCCGTTTCGGAGGTGTAGACGGGAGGGGCGTGAGACTGCTGGAGGCCCCAGAGGAGGAACCAGGGCCGGCTGTAGTACCAGGGCTGGTGGAGAGATGACCGGAAGAACGCACGCCAAGGGACTCGGGCACGCAGATCATGATGAAGAGTATATCCAGCAGAGCGATGGCTGTGGCCAGCGAAATGACGAGGTTCTCGCTGTATGCCTTCTCCAGGAAAGCACCCAGGGCGGGCGAAATGATGAGACTGGCGGCAAACGTTGCCGAAACCTGCAAAAAATGTGAAACAGGGATAGAAAAGCGATGCAGGAGACAAGAGGAAAACGCGGAAAACAAATTTATGCTCATTTGGTCGTATCAACAACCTTCGCAAAACGATACAAATGAGATGGTGGACTAGTTGAACTACCAAATCCCGATGGTGATGATGATGATGATGATGATGATGATGATGATGATGATGATGATGATGATGATGATGATGATGATGATGATGATGATGATGATGATGATGATGATGATGGTGACGATGATTATGATGGCGCGAGGACAATATACTGTAACTAGACGGCAGTGTGCAGGACACTCCGATTATCTTAACCATGAAAGCGATTTGTCCCTGTGCCCAGCCAGTGTTCGAGACATATGAAACCCTTGTCTACCTTGAGCGAAGACCTAGAAGATGGCAGTCGGAAGCTGTCTGTTAGTATGAAATCATTCCTAGACAAAACGGAATCGCCTCGTAGCCCGCCCCGCGACAAGGATAATTCGGCTAACACCAGTGTCCCACACTGCACGTCACCGATAGAAGTCAACAGGCAGTAGGCCGGGTGACCTAAGTGGTCAGAGCATCTGACTTAAGTGCTAAATAACCGACTTGACTCAGGTGACACCCAGGTGAACTGACACCTGGGGTTGGGGCATAACTGTCTGGCTGAGGTCAGACACGGTCAACGAAGTTTCTTCTAGCCTTGACGAATAACTCTCACAGACAGTACACTCTGTTGCTTAAGGTAAACAATATGAGTTCTTAAAAGTGCACGGGTGTCGAGGATGCGACTGTACGGTACCGATGGGTACATAGACCAGTGCAAATAAAATTTTAAGACAAGAAAGTTAGGCATGATGGACACTGAACTTTGGCGTGACACAAAGGAAGCGCTGGTTTGATGACATCTGTGAAGGCTAGGGTACCCTTGTACTTGGTAGGAATCCACAAAAGTAGTCGGAAAACCCTCGTGTATGATGTCATAGTCAGCAGAGAATAGCTTAGTCACATGTTCCAGTAGCGAACACACTGAACTAGTTGGCATGAAAGCCTCGAAACCAATACTCTCCGCGACGCGTTCGAGGTTTGGATTCAGCACAAATCACCCAATAAAGGGAGTCCGGTGAATAATGTGCATTCCTAACCGACCATGTCACGTCCAGAGGAAGTGAAATCGGACAGGGATCACGACGGTGGTGCATAAACGATATCGAACGACACTACGCGACGGATTATATCTCATATCAATGTATAGGACTTTTGTGACAGGAGACTAATAGGAACGACCCCGAAAAAGCGTCATACAACACAAAAACCCCTGCATCAAAAGTACTTGCAGATACGCAAATGATCAATGTTGAAACCGCTGATAAGATGAATCGTCTGAGTAGCATCGGGGACAGCCGGCTATAGACTTCAATTTACAGTACGAGGACCACCGGAATTTGTGGGACAGGTCTCATTTTACTTGTTACTAAGAGTGAACTTGTTGAAGAAAAATTACCCTGCCCCGGAGTTTGTCGCTTACGAACGACATACCGGAGGGACTAGGTGGATGTGTTTATCGACATGCCAATTTGTTAGCACGGAAAACGACAAAAACGCGCCAGAAATCTATGTAACGGTCCGGCTGTGGTAGACGGTTTACTAGGAACAACACCTCTTTGCAGCGGGTTATCCGACTTGAAGGGTATGACTGTCTAGTAAGATGAAAGGGTGGTCACTACCAAATAGACCTGTGGTGCTGAATGAGCAGTGAACACGTACAAGAGGAGAATGACATGCCCTAAACAACGGAATGTTCCAACAATAATGAATTCGGTGGTGTTGGGTGTATGCTTAGCATTTCAAGCAAGCTTTCAGTCTAAACGGCATGTGGCAAACATTTAAGACCTCCAGAACGAAAGAAGCCCAGACATGCGAGAGAGCAGCGACTGCTCCTGCGGGACAACCAACTTTACCGACCCAAAATGAAAGAGTTCTCTGTTGTCACCCCTCTTTTTAGGATGAAAACTACCCAAGATGTCATCGCAAATGGAAAACAAGAGCAAGTGTGAAAGCGGAGCAAAGATGCTTGGTATACACAACGACAAGCTTACAAGCATTTGCATATTGTTGAAGTATCCTGTAATTGTGATTTTCCTAGCAAAACTGGGGCAGAACTCGATAGAAATCCTCCCTTTTTGGAGAAACTAACTCAATAATTTCCAAGATTATAGGTGTCTGTAATAATGCCACAGACTGTACGTCGCGAAAGTCAGTCTGCGATGTTGACCGACGTAAGTGGTGCCTAACAAGGTACTCCAACTTCCACTTGGTACTTAACCGTGCGTCAAAGGTTACTATAATATCGGTTCTTCTTTACTGATCAAGGAACTGGGTTTTGTGTTCCTCAACTAGAGCGAACACCGATAAACAAACTAACGAAAACCATGAGAAGACCGAACCAATGTGTTAACCGAATTGGAGCCAACCGGCGCGTCCACGTATGGCGGAAGTCGGAATAGACATAAACGAAATGTCGCTGTGAAATAAACATATTTTCAGGTTGGGCGAATGGACACTCGAGAGTAGAGGGCCGATAGTAGCTTCATGCGCGAGTGGACACCGACTTGACCGACTTCACCTATGGAAAGTGTACGTGTCAGGGAAATATTACGACATAATGCCTGTTTCCGCCCTAAATTAAAACTTCCACCACCGCACATGTGACACGAGTTAACAAGCCATACTGACAGAACGGATTCTTAACAGGAGCTCCACTGCGAGCAGTGGACATTTTGGGCTAAGAGCGTAGTCCACTGCGACTAATGTACTAGCAGTCTGTTGAAAATAAATTTAGTAGATCGGTTGTATGACATTTTGGTCTAAGAGTAGTCTTGACTTGCAGTCCGAGTCGACGAAAGCAGAAGCAAAGTTAAAGTCCCCAGTCCGTGCGGCGGCTAAGAAGATTTTCTGGCTCACTCAGCAATGCTGCCTGAAAGCTAACTTCTCAACGGCATCCAAACTATCACGTAAAAGTCATCTAAAAGTTTGCAAAACTACGACAACTAAGCACATGTGTGGCCTTAATGACCACCGAAGTCCTTAGTCTGGGAGAGGGCTGCGAAAACTATCTGATTAGCCAAACGGCGCTGCAGTGATTAAATCAGTGACAGAACTTTGGGCTGTCCGCCCTGGCAGTTGGCACGACGTTCCGCAATGGTTAACTTTCCTGTATGCTCTTGAAAATGACACGAAGTCAGCTAAAGATGACCGTAAAAACACTCCGATGACACTCGAAAACTCGACTAATTTTTCTGGCAATTGATTGATAAGCTGTTTGCACTGGATGACTTTGTGAGTGATGTTAATGGCGATTTTCCTGCTAGGTTTTAAAAATGTTTCCAATTATGAGATTTTTAAGACCATGCGATGTCCATGCATACAGGATCGCACATGTCCGTTTACCAATGCTCCTCATGAAATGTACAAAGTAGTCCGCATCCGCTGCAAGGATTTATGAACTCTATATGGCACTGTCTTGAAGTCATAGAGGAATATGTTATTTTCCTTACGCGCAAAGGATGCACCTTGTAGACTGCAGTCGCTAAACGCTAACGCAAGGGCAGATCAGGCCCAAAATTATTCGGGAATTGGGAAACTTTCTTGAAACCTAAATATACACTTTCTGCGGGTGTTGCATTTTACCAAGTATGGTTTCTGCAGGTCAAAAAGGAGTGCATCCAAAAGTCGACATCCTGACGAGTCCAAAATGCTATAGGATTACGCTGCATGCTAATCAGTCTTACAACCCCACCTAAGTAATCCTTCCTAATCGAGAACGCATTCCAGAATCTCGGCCAACATTTCATGAGATCGGTCACGCACTGTACCACCCCTCTTCACTTTCAGCAGTGGAATTTTGGCCTTTCCCGGTCTGTGACCGTAATATGGAGGTTGCGTAAATAGGCCCTCAGAGAGGACAGTATCCCCGATGAAGCGTACATGTCACGTGCAGACACTCGGGCTTCCTGAAATGATTGTGCGACCCTTGGGGGAAGACTTTGTCCATGATGTCTGGGGTCCTGCCATCCTTGCTACCGTCTTCAGGAAGTGAAGTAGGACAAAGTACGAGGAGGCATAAGCTCCATCAGTTGCCTTGCTGGTCTTTGCTGTCCTCATTCTCAGGGGGTTTTAGTGTGCACGACGAGACCCAGACAAGACAGGCTCTGAGCAGGACGTGGATATACCGGCCAGATATTCATACCGCGGTCTATACTTGAATACAGCCACACCTATTTGTAACCGACGGTCGTCCGCTCTGCTGGTCTCGCCGCAATGTCCAATCCCGTTCATTGCGAGTTCACGTGACAGATTATGGGGCTGGAAGGTATTCCGGAAAAGTAGTTAATACGATCAAGGCATTTTGTTGCCCCACCACTACACGAGATCCGGTCAGCAGAAATCTCTCGCACCCATTCGCAGTCTCTTGTCCATACTGTTTAATTATGGCGTTGACAGAATTCTCAGAGGAACTCCATACGGTTATGACGATAACAGATATGCACCTTGACGCCGTCTGATTGACCTCGACTACTCGCACGATATCGCCTTGCTTGCGCAAAGCTTGTATGACCTACAGCAGGTAGTGCAGCGAGTAAATGAGGTCGCCAAATCAGTGGGTTCATCAGCTAATGCTGGGATAACCACGTTTTAGAAGTGAATTTGTGAGCAGAAGACAATAGGGCCATGCTTCGCGTGAAATATAACAACTTCGTCTCTGGTACCATACTCAGCGTCCAAAAAGACTGGCCTAACACCGCAGGAATGTTCCAAGCAGTGGTGTGGGCGCTTTCTTAGTCGCCGATCCCATGAGTTCAGAGTTGCTACCATCTGAAGGTGTCGATGAGATCAGTTTAAAACTGGTTCAACGTAATCTGTCAAGACATGAAGACAGCTTGTGAATCCTAAATAGGTAGTCTCCATAGCTGTAGAAGAGAGCAGATCGAGGTCCCCAGGCTCGCTGACACAGATCGTTATGCTCAAAGAATTGGAATCCGCGACATTATCGTGGCTTGTTGAGTCGAACGTGATCACGACCGTAAGAAGCACAGATACATTTTGAGCCAAATAATTCCAAAGCGAAACTCGTAGCTGACGGAGTGAGTGATGACGAAAGTGGGACGAAATGCTAAAAAGAGACTCGGTGAAATATTCCTCGGATGCCCACATAAACATCACGCAGCAGTTGTTGTCCGCTTGAGGACTATAGACATAAAAGGATAAAATGAGGCAACACGGAGACCAAAGGTTCTGGTTTTCGCTACCTTATGGAACCCCCAGACGCGACTGTACGCATTGCAAGTTGTGTTGGAGGCTACGAAAATGGTCATGATTTTGTAGTGGGATATTTTTACACTCAAGTAAACTTCTGTATCACAAACGTAGCTCGGAGTGCGAAGCGTGGAAACGTTTCATAACTTCTAAAAACTTCCATATTTTGCTAGGTGTAGAGAACAAATGGCCTGAAGGCAAGTTACGATAACTAATGGGTAAAGTATTGGCAGTAGTCTAAGCAGGAGGTAAGGCTCTTTTTCCCGCTTAGTTATGTTCGGGGCTACTCGACGACATGAGAGGGCCCAGAAAGACGTGGACTTTCTTTGAGTATAGAAAAGTGATGTTGCTGAATAAACAGTTGTTCTGAGGAGGCGGTTATAACAACGGTTCAGCCTACAAGACGTAAGACCTCGACATACCCAACCAGAAAAGGCGAGTACACGACTGGGATACAATTAAAATAACATGAGAATAAACACCCTCAAACGAACATCGTGCATCCTTTATCGAGGCGAAGGGGACGAAAACCAAAGTAAGTTATACTGGGCTTTTATGTGTTTGAATTGAATTCTACACATGGAGACGTTAAGACGAGTCCAACGAAAAGTGGTATGCGTGCGAAAATGAAAGACTAATTGATGAATCCTGAACTTACCAAACCGTAGGCCCAACTCCGATCCTCAACCGTTGTCACGTCGGAGACAAAGGCCAAGACCACAGAGAATGTTACGGAAAAAATTCCGGATATACTAATCATGGTGAAGTACCACCAGTGGCTGAGTTTGATAAGAGGGATCGGTGAGCACGTGAAAGTCACGGTTAGGAAAAGGAACGGCTTTCGGCCGAAAATATCAGACATGGATCCTATTAAAGGTGCGCTGAGGAAAGACAAAAATCCTTTGATTCCTTGGATGATTCCATTCATCAAAAA